ACAATCTCTTGCATAAAAAAGAAGAGGAGGGAACACTTCCCAATTCATTTTATAAGGCCCTGATACCAAAATCAAACACGGTAAAAAGAAACTAAAGTTCATGTCAATATCTCTTATGAACTTAGATGCAAAAATTCTTAACAAAATCGAATCCAAGTATGTATAAGAATAATTCTATACCATAACCCAGTTGGATTTATTCCAGGTGGCAAGGCTGGTTCGACATTTGGAAATTAATCAGTGATATCAATTCACCATATCATAGGATCATGTCATTTGATGCAAAAAAGCATTGACTAAATCTTACACACATTTATTATAAAAATTCAAAGCAAGTCAGGAATAGAGGAAATTATCTAAATTAGATTTTTTAAAAATCTACAAAAACCCTGTCACTAATAAAGGTGAAAGACTGATTGCTTTTCCCTGAAGATCAGTAATGAGGCAACTATACCTGCTCTCACCACTCATCCAACATAGTATTGAAAGTTCTACCACTGAAATAAGACAAGAAAAAAAAATGAAAGACATATGGATTGGAAAGGAAAAAACAAAACTGCCACTATTTGCAGATAACATGATTGTTTACACAGAAAATTCCTAGAAGTGATAAGTAAATTCAGCATGGTTGAAGTATACAAGATCAACACGAAAACAGACCCGCACAAATATGCCTGCTGACTTAACAAAAATAAATAAATCTGCAAAAGCAATTCATTGGAGGAAAAATAACCTTTCAAACACATTAGAACTGAGTATCCACAGAAAAGAACTGTGCCTCAACCTAAACTTCACATCTCAGAGAAAAATTAGCTGAAAATGTGTCACAGATGTAAAATATAAAACTAAACTTACTTTTAAAATTAAAGAAAATCTTCCAGATTTAGGGCTAGATGAAAGTTCTTACATTTGACACCAAAAGCAAAAGCCATAAAATGAAAGACTGATAAATTAAGTCTCTTCAAAATTGGAAAGTTTTGCTCTGCAAAAGCCTATGTGAAGAGAATGAAAAGACGAACTAGAGACTGGAGCAAAATATTTGCAAACCACATATCTCACAAAGGGCTTTTCCTATTATATATAAAGAACTCTTCAAAATGCCACAGTAAAAAATAAAAACAAACCTCTAATTAGAATATGGGCAAAACATGTGAACAGACATTCTACCAAAAAAGAAATAAAGAAAAAGAAAAGGATATACAGATGGCAAGTCAGTACATTAAAAAGATGATCACTATCATTACCTTAGCCACCAGGGAAATGCAATTTAAAACCATGATGAGATATTACTTACCTATCTGAATGACTGAAATAAAAAAATAATGACAACAACAAATGCTGCCAAGTATAAAGAAAAAAATCAATCACTCCTACATTCTGCTGATATTGTAAAATGGCACAGGCAATCTGGAAAAGAGTATGGCAGTTCTTACAAAACAAAATGTGTGCTTACCATATAACCCAGCAATTGCCCTCTTGGGCGTTTATTCCAGAGAAAACTATGTTCCCACAAAAACCTGTACATGAATGTTCACAGCAGCTTTATTTGCAACAGCCAATATGGAATAAAAACAGCTCTGCAACAAGTTCTTCAATGAGAAAGCGGTTGAACAATCCACCGTTGCGGTACCTCCATCCCATGAATACTTCCCACTAATAAAAAAGAATGACCTATTGATTAAAGACAGTAATTGGATACATTTCAAGGGAATTACGCTGAGTCAATAAAGACAATCCAAAAATACTACATTATTGTATAATTTCACCTATACAACATTCTTGAAATGACAAAATTGGAAAAAATTGAAAATAGATTAGTAGTGGTCACGGATTGCCACTGACCCTCCGGGTAGATGTGGTCACAAAAGGCAAAAAGAGGGATCCTGTGGTAAGCTCAGTTCTGCATCTTGACTGTGGTGGTGGATGAATTTACACATGTGATAAAATTGTACAGAATTAATTACACACACATAGAGGATGGAGGAGAGAGAAATGAGTACAAGCAAAACTGGAAATCTCAATAAGATGGGTGGGGTTATATCAATGCTAGGATCCTGGTTGTGATATTGCACCGTAGCTTTGGGAATTGTTACCACTGGGGAAAACTGGGAAAAGGGTGGGTACACAGGATCTCCGTGCATTATTATTTTTACAACTGCACGTGAATCTATGATTATCTCAAAACACTTAAATATATATATTTTTAAATGTGTGAATGCTCCTGGGCTACATATTTAAAAAAAAAAAAAAAGTACAATTCTCTTAAGAACGCAAAGGCCAAGGGGCAGAAGGTTATTTCCTAAATTTTAAGAAACCACCTAGTTCACAAGTGCCACCTCCTCACTTTGCTGTCAGCGGCGTGATGTGCTCTGCAGTGCTGGAATTGAGAGTTCGAGAGGGAGATACCAGTCCTGGCCTCTCGGTGTTCAAGTGTGTGTTTAGGTGGGCGTTGGTGTGAGAACGAGACAGAGAAACCGGGAGCAAGAGCGAGAGCTTTGCCTCTCCTACTGTCAGGAAGGGTGGCCGGCTGATGGAGGTGCTGTGCAGAAAGCCGGGGAAGGGCTTAAAGAGGGTACTGGCGCCTCGGGAACGCCCTCCTGCTGCACCCTACAGGAGGTTGTGGGCGGGGGCTCAATAACCCCGATGCAGTGCTTGAACCCCACGGTCCAGAAGGAAAGGTGAGCAGGGGACCCGGGCGGGAGGTGAGGCCTCCCGGCAGTAGCCCTCAAGCGTGCTGGGCAGACCGGCTCGCAGAGGCGGCGCCTGGTCTTGGATGCTGCAGCAGAGACGCCAAGGAGACTGAATGCAGGGAGCGAGGCGTAGCGGCCGCGGAGGGTGGGGCCGCCCGGAAATCCCGGCGGCGCCAGCCTGGTAGCATCTGCAGGCCGGGGGCGCGCACACGAGGGGCACGTGGGTGTGGAGGAACCGGCGCCGCGGGGCCTCCTTCCTGCAGCGCCGCGGCGGCCGAGTGCTGGCGCTGGAGGAACGGCGAGTGAGGTGTCTGCCCCGCGCAGGCGGTACCTGCAGCCCCATCTTCGCACCCAGAAGACGGGGCCAAGGACGGGGACCGTGGCTCAGCGCCTGGAGGCGCTCTCCACGCGCGTCTCTTCCCAGATGCCGGGGCGTGAAGCCGGGCGGCTTTGTCCAGAGATGTCTGGGGATGTGGGAAGGGGAAGAAGAGGTTTCCCAACTGGCCAAACCCTGGCGTGGGGAAAAGACTGAGGGGGTCATTGACCAGTGGGAGCGCCCTGAGGCTTCGAAGGAACGGCGCCCGCAGCCCAGCCGGGGAGAATGGTGTTGGGCACCGGCGGGGCCAGCGGGTTCCACGTGGGTGGACCCCGAGCTGAGGGCAGCGGTAGGGTCGCGGAATCGCGGACGTGTGCGCTCCCCTACACCAGCACAAGGACACCTGCACGTGAACCCCGGCTTCCACCCTCTCCTGGCGAGGTCGGCGCCGGGAGCGCGCAGGGGAGGGACGGCGGCGGAGTGCGGGGTTTGGCGGGGAAAGTGGGTGAGGTGTGGCCGCGGGGGAGGGGGCGAAGGCACTAGAAGGCTGCGGTCGCGCGGTCGCTGCTGTTCCCACCGTCGGCGCGGGGCGCGGAGGGGGCGAAGAGGTGTCTGCCAGTCGTACTGCGGTCCCTGCCCGCGTTAACCTGCCCTAGGGGTGAAAGGAAAAGGAAAAGGGTCATGTAAAAGCGCGAGGGCCGGCAGAGACTCTTGCTGGTTCCTGCAGGCGCGGAGGGATGTGGCCGCGGGGACCTGGAGTTTAGAGGGCAACGCTGAGTGTCGTAATGCGGGAGATGACCCCGGGCGCAGCGGGGCTTCCACTTGGTTAGAGCTCCAGAGAACGTGGCTCCAGAAGAGGAGCTTCCTGCGGTGTACTAAACCTAGCATTGACCCCCTCCCACTCAGTTCCCACAACCTCCAGGGTCCTAGCGGAGTCATTTAAGCGCTCAGTACTACCAGCTTCATTTTAGATAAAAGCCAAGACCAATTCTGCATTTGTTAACCGCCTTGTCCTCAAGTCACCACGGCGCAGCTTTTCACAGCTCTAATGCGTGGTCACTCCAAGCCCACAGCGAGTTGCTTGTGTCCTCGGCTTCTGCTCCACAAACCTCGAACGATGCCACCGGAGGACGCTGAAGGCAAAAGCTCGCTGGGCCGGGCGCCTGCAAGACTGCGGCGCTTGCAAAGCCTCCGCAGGAGCCGAGAGCGGACGAAGCTCGTGACCCCCTCCCGAGGCAAGCGGCTCGGCCCTGCGGCGACACTTGGTCAGTGTCACTCTGTCCCTACCGGTGTCGAGTATTTTCTCAACAGAACGTGACCCCGTAGACGGATGAACTCGGAATCAGGAAAACCCGCCTGCCCCTTGTCTAGTCTCTCTGCCCCCTACACCTCTGCCCTTCACTACGGACGGCGCAGTGCGCGCACCGGGACCTCCGCGGCACCTTTGCCCGCAGCTCCCCATTCCCAAGGCAGCCGGAGGAGGGCCTTTCCGAGTTACCTGTCTCCCATCAGCAGCCACACCGGTCGGTCCCCCTCGAACCGCTCCCCAAGGGTAAAGTCCCTGAAAGTCCGAGGCTCCTGTGCCACGCACCCTCCCCCCTGCAGGGAGACCCCGCTTGTGCGTGTGTGTGCCACGCGTTTAATCGCACAGAGTAATTCCCAGACGTGCAAGACAAGGCATTTCAAGCAAAGATGGTCCAGAGTTCAAGTTAGAAAGCACATCTCGAGGCGCTGAGCCTGTTCTCGCCGTCTGTTTCGGTCTCTGGGGCGTCGCATCCAGGAGAAGGGTTTTTAACTCTGAACCCCTGCCAGATCCGCTCGGAAATTAGCTCTTCTGGCGGTGCAGCAACAGGTGGCCCCGCCGCCTCCCTTGTGCACCCGGAGGGACTGCACCCTCCTCTACTCCCGGCCCTTAGTCCTTGCGGGAGTAGGTAATGGCGAGGGAAGGGTGACAATGGGGACGAGAGAGGGGAGAAGGAAGTATATATTTTTTATTTTTAATTGTGAAATGGTCTGTCTGCGTGCTGTGCTCTGGGATTCTCTTGTCTCAGTCAACTTCCAATTTTAAGGGGGCCCTAATGTTAAGATTAACACCTAGAAATGAAAACGTACCCACCTTCTTTATTACAAAGGTCTTTTGTTGTTTGTTTGTTTTTTAAAAAGTATCCCCCCAACCCCCACGGACTTATACTTTATGAGATTTCTCCGATCTTGGTGGTTTGGAGAAATGACGTGGGGGAGGAGAAGACGCAAGGGCAGCAGGGCGTCTACCAGGAAAATAAGATACTTACTAATGTAATAGGGCCGTTCCTTTTTACTTCAGATGCTCCCCCACCCCTTTGAGTTTCCTCAAAGTTTCTCTATCCAGAGTTTGTGCCCGAAGCTTTACGAATAAACTCCCTTTCCAGGTAAACCTCCTTGTCACTTGTCCTTTGCCCAGCGAATCGCAGGTACGATGGGTCAAGGACCCCCGGCTTCCATATTGTCTGAGTCACCTTCCAGTTGGAAAGGCCACCTGGGGCGAGGGACGTGTTGCCCGACTGGTCTAAATAAGGAAAAAAGGAATACCAAAGGACCAAGGGCCTCTGTTCCTCCCCATTCCGCCACCACCACCACCGGTTCCCGGGCTCCGCTGAGCGCTGCGGCGGTCTTGGCTAGAAACTGCGTCTCCGCCCAAATCGAGTGCAAAATTCCCTTGGACAGAAGTTTAAAGGAATCCAGTGTAGAAACAGACTTCTCCATCCAATTTGGTTATAATCAATAATCATATAAGTATACCAACATAACCACCTAAGTAGAGAGCAGACGCCCAGATTCACGGTCCCCACGTGTTGCTGGAGTTGGCGCAGACGCGTCTGCGGGCAAAGCGGCGGACGTGACACCGCATTTTCTCCGAATTCCTGCCATCTAGGGTGGTGCCGTCCCGAGAGGGGGTCATGGGGAGGTGGGGTAATAGGCTGCAGAATCCACTTGCTCTGGGGGAGCACTAGGGTTCAGAGTAGAGCGCAACTCCGAGGGGCTCTCGTACAGCCCCATTCTCCCACACCAGAAAAGCAATGCTCGTTATGGATGATTAATAGCCGAGTTTCTCCTGACCATGCGGCGCGTCCCTGCCGACACCACTAGCTTAGTTGTTTTAATTTGACCTTTATTAGCAACGTGCTCCCCGAGGCTGCGAATTGGATTCGCACCACGGTAACCGCCCTCTCCCCTTCCACCCCTCCTGCTTCCTGGGGAGGATCAGAGACTGCAGCTCCCGCGACGCCTCCTCCTCCTGCGCAGGGAGCAGGCCTGAGTTCCTCCGCGTTACCACCTGGGAGCCCTCAGGCATCCCGGGGCCTGGTCTGAGGGTCTTCGAGCCGTGGAGCTGGGCGGTGTCTGCAGTGCACCGCCGTGAGTTTCTTTCGGGCACAATGTGCTGGTGTGCAAAGAGGAGGAAAGAAAAAAACCCAACACCACTCTTAAGTGGCACTGGCATCTAGGAAGTGGCGGTGGTCTACACTGAGCGTGCCCTTGCCTGGAGGTGTAGGGGGCGGTTACTGCAGCTGAGGGGAGGGTACTGCGGCCAAGGGCAGGGCGGGAGGACAGTCAAGGCCGGCTGGCCGCGTGGGAGCCTTTCCTCTCCGGGTTCAGCGGCCGGCATCACTGGCACTGCGGCTAAAGGGACTGGTAGGCTCTCCTGCACCCCGCGTGCTCCTCCGCCTTCTCTGTGTCCCCCGGCTTTTCCAAGAGGAAGATGGGGTGCCCATCGCGAATGGGGCGCGCCGGGCAGCCAGGCCGGGCGGTCACGTGTCCCCCCTCCCCCGCTACTGCGGCGGGAGTTCCAATCAGAGCGCGCCAGGGGGCTCCTCCCGGGCAGGAACCACCCGGCTCGGCGGCGGAGGGTGGGCCGCCGTCACCTGACCGCCCGCCCCCGCCCCCCGCGAGTAAGGGGCGGTGGTAGCGTCTGCTCGGTTACAAATGGCCCCTCCCGCCCGGCTCGCCCGCTCGCTCGGGCTCGGCGCGGACCCGCCTGGGCGTGCTCCTCCCGCCGGCTCCAGGCGTCCCACCGCCCTGACTCCTGCGGGCGCGCCGGGCACCCAGCGCGGAGGCTCGCCCGCGGAGGTCGCCAAGGAAGTCTGGACCGCCTAGGCGTGTGGCTCGTCTACAGGCAGGTGAGCGTGCACCGCAGGCGTGGGATGCTGCGGGGACAGTGCGGGGGACGTGTGGGGTCCTCAGATGCCGACGCGAATCTGTGCGATGCCGAGGTCAAGTTTGCAGAGCTAGTACGAGGTGTCCGTCTCCTCGGCCTCCTCTTTGATGCGCCCGCGGGTTGGGGACTCGGACCAAAGCTTCGATTTGGGGGAAGGGCTTCAGGACATTCTTGCCTTGAGATACTTGACAAAGGTTGAAAAGACACATCAGGTGGGAGCTTGTAGCTGCTGCTGATGGGATGAGACAGGTGCAGTCGAGTGTGTTTGCATATGTGTGTGGCTCCTGGTAAGGGTCAGCTCCAGATGGGGAGAAGCCTCTGCGACGGGTCATTCTGTCCCCAAGGGCCACTTAGATGCCGGAGACTGAAATTGAGCGGCTCTGAGGTGGTCACTAGATGTTAGGGCAGCAAACCAGTGACCTCCAGTATTTCTGATATGACCTGTAGTAGTAGCAGGAGTGCAGATGGTTCAGTAAAGAGTGTGTGAGGTTTTAAGGCACCCAGAAAAGATTCCTCTTACCTTCTAACTTCTTGGCAGAAATTAGTATTAAAAGTGCTGAATCATGCAAAAAGATGAGGAAAATAATTCATGTTTTGGTAAACTTCTCCAAAGCTAGTAATATCTGCATTTTTGAATGAATGCTTTAAATTTATGATGTACGCACCAGGTATTTAAAATCATATTTTAAGACTGTGCCCTTGGCTTTATGGCCATGGGTTGCTTTTCTTTCTTTGTGATGAATTGTATCCAATCATTACTTCTTACACTTTCACTACCCTCAAAACAAAACCCTGAAGAAAAACCCCCAAGACATGGGTTTTTTAATTCTTATTATATTTTTGGTGTGTTCATGTTTGTAAAGGGAGTGGAGGTATCAGTCCTGGAAAATAGAAAATATCCTCCTCTAATGAATGCAGTGATGGCCAATTTGATCAATCTGATTTGTCAAATGCCACTGAAGGGAATGTCAAGCTGGTAACATGCAGACTGGAGAAAAAATGGAACAGGAGTTGCCCATTGAGGAAGAAATAAGCCCTTATCTCATTGCACTCAGTGAAGGAGCTGGAGAGTAGTGCTTCCACATTGGAAGCTGAGTCCTTGTTGGTGGAGGTGGAGGGGTGCAGTTTTTGATGCAAGTTCTGAGGTCAGACACCAAGTAACATAAAGATGAATTAAAAAAAAAAAAAAATCAGAGTCAGGATTAGTAAAATGGGTGTGTCCAGCAACAGCCCTTGCCCATTTACTCTGGGCTGCACTGTCTGAAATGCTCAGTGGCCTGCTGACTCATAAGGGAACCAGCATGGCTTAGCAAGATTGGATTTTACTTGTAGACTCTAAAGAACTGTACTTGTTAAAAAAAAAAAAATTGAAAAGCATGATCAGAGATATCTATAATAGAGAAGCTAATGTCTCCTTCTTCTCACATCTCTTCTTCAGGGAGGTTTCTCCCCGATTCCTTGACTTGTCACCTTCATTTCAATACCTGTCATCCATGCTTGTGCACAGCATATTTGGTTTGACACAAAGGTTTTAATCTGAATCTTAACATGAGAAACAGTGGTACTCTTAGCTACATGATTATTTCAAAGGTATTTTTGAAGGATACTGAAAAACTAGAATATGAACGATTAATTGAGTTTTCTTTACAGCACAGACTCCCTTAACATTGCATGCAAGACCAGGGAGCCCCACCCTGTTTCTGAGCATCTGCATGAAAGACCAGGAAAGGAATTCGACAATTGCAGTGGTGCAGGGAGAGGCAGCTTCTAGGCTTGGGCATTACCTTTATTTAAATAATTACTAACAATTTTGGAGGGTAGGCTTTAATCCATAGGCAGATTTTGAAAAGCACAGTGTTATTTCTTTTCACCTGTCAGCTTGTTAAAATGTCCATTTAACTTTGAGAGCTTGATTTTGATAGAAAATGGATACAGATCGAGAGCTTCTAAATTTTAAGATCCTAGGGCTAAAAGGCATGATTGGAAGGACATATTAAAGCATACAGTGAAGCCATAAAGAGTTATCTTTGCTTTGATAGTCTAATAAAATTTCTTTATAAAACTAAGTTTTTTAGAAGAGAGGGACTCCTTTTTAGGCAATGCATGGAATAAATCAGCTTGTGCAATAGACCAGCACCTGGCATCTCAGTTTGAATAGAGATGCGTAATTGGAGCAAGAAACAGATGAATGAGCTTACCTTTTACTGCTTGGTCCTTCAAACAGAACCCAGTCATGTCACATCAGATCAGAGGAAGGCCATTTCTACAACATGGCAAGGAGATTTCAAATCTATGGGAAATAAAATGTTTTGAGCTGCTCTGAAGAAAGATGCATTATAAATTTACAATTCGTTATTATAGTTACGCTTATCCGCATCGTCTACTGCAGATAGTGGGTCTGACCAAGAAGAAGAGAGATACAAAGACTTTTTTTCTTTCCTTTTTATAAAGACAAAAATTTTAAAAAGATGTCTACTTGGTGTTACCATCCATTTTTTAACGTAAATATACCATTTACAGAAGAGAAAATGATACATTTTCTCCTGATGGCTAGAGTGAATTAATGCGTTTTCACATCTGAATGTAGTGACCACTTAGTATCTCAACAGTTCTTCCAGTCTAATGTGATACTCTAGGTGAAAATTGCAGGTTCTGTTCTGAACTTACAGCCTTAAGTTCAAAGCAGCTGAAACTACCTTCTGCTTTTTTCCTTTTTTTTTTTCCCTTATATTATCTTTCCCCTCTTTTAAATCCACAACCTACACCTACAAATCCTAGCACCTTGAAGGCTTTGAGAGTCACCAGGAACACAATCAGGTAAATTGCCTGTGATTGCGGGTCATTCTAAAATCAAAATAGATTTCAGCGGCGGCTTCAAGAACCAAACGTCTTTGGTGCTTTGCTCAGATGCCGGCACCCTAGCAGCCTGCTTTCAAAGAGGGTCTTTTCCTTAGATATGCAGTGATTATTTTGTGGAAATTAGCTCTACCCACTTGCACAGTTAATTGCAGTGTGAGAAGGTTCCAGAACAGTACCTCCTTGAGTTAGACAGTAAATATGCTCACATCATTGTATGTGGAGCATTCCAGAACACCCACCTCCCAGCGAAGTAAATGTGCTGGCTGAATAAACACCTAGGCTGCTTTAGCCCAAAATTGCCAACAAGTCTCATGTTTTACCACAAATGATTGTTTAAATGTACACTAAGCCTTTTTAGGACACTGGAGAGCCTTGTAGCATGGAAAGGGGTATCTGATGTCTGACTTCTTTTAGAGCTGGCCTCCAAAAATCTTTTTCCATTCGAGGATGTGAGGTTATGAGTGTTTTGCCAGGAATTTGAAGAAAATTGTTTGTTCACCCACTTATTACAAGGAATTGTAGAGTTAGTAACATTTTTGGCTTTAAGTATTTAAAAATTAATCATGTTTTTGGGTGTGTGTTGGTTTGAGGCAATAGAGAGTATCCTTTAGAAAAAACATTTGGAAATTGCTGCTCCTTTAAAATTATGTGACATTAAACACTTGTACATACATCTCTGCAAAATTCAAGAAATGTGCTTTGGTGTGCGCATTGTGCCACATACACGTGCATCCTACACAAACTGGAATTCCTATTTAGGATTGTTTAACTCTTCATTTTGAGGAGACTCGGGTAGTGGGGAATGTTTTTGTTTATTTCTTTCCTGGTAGGAGTGGTCTCTGAATCTGCTGTGCTTAGGTATCTTAGTAGGTAAGACCATCAAGAAAAGACAGTGAATGAATAGTTCTTATAAGTACATAAAGTACATTTTTTTTTTTTGCAGTATGTCATTGTTTATGTCACTAATTTAAAAGTATTCCAGCTCTGGGTTTTATAACTAAAAATATGAGAAACAGTTTTTGTTCAGATGTAGTTCAAGATGCATCTCTCCCTTGTTCAAATTACTATACATCCTCTTTGCTTCTCATGGAATTTGGAAACTATCCCAGCTGCTAATGATCTAAACATTTTGGTCTTACAGGTGTTCTTTCGATCACAATGGATAGTGACTCTTCTCTTCTGCCTGAGTGGTTCAAAATGTAAGTTCAGTAAACTAAATAATTAAATATTTATTTATTTATTTATTTATTTGATTTATTTTGAGACGGAGTCTTGCTCTGTTGCCAGGCTGGAGTGCAGTTGCACGATCTTGGCCCACTGCAACCTCTGCCTCCCAGATTCAAGCAATTCTCCTGCCTCAGCCTCCTGAGTAGCTGGGATTACAGGCACTACTCAGGCGCTACTGAACATCTGTGTAGATCAGTTCTTCCCATTTTTCATTCCTTCTACCTAGGACTCTAGCTTCATAAATAAGAATCTAGAAGGAAGTGGTATACCCTTGGGTGGGGGACTGGGGGAGCCTAGCCTAGATGGACATTTATTCACTACCCAGCAGTGTAACTTTATATGACTGCAATCATAGCCATTGATTCCTGCACAGCCCCCACTGCCCCCATGTTAGTTTCATGGCAATAGAACATGAATCTTTGGTGTCTGGGTAAGGCTGAATTGACACTTCCCCAGATGTCATATGTTTCTGTGTGGCCCTGCCTGTTCTAATCTCTTGGTTCAAGCAGATGGCTTCTGATATGTAGACACGTCCTGGCCCAGGTATAGAGGTTTTTTTGGCCAGGGGTGGGGGGGCAGATGAAATCCTACGGCTACTGTCAAGCTACCTTTCCTACCTAATATATATTAACCAAAATGTTATAGCCCAGCTGATGATGCTTATGCTGTTAGGATCTGGTACACGTAAATTATGAAATGGAAAGTATTAAAGTGTATGGGAAGCCATTGCTGTTTCACATAGAGTTTGAATGGTGAGGGATTTTACAGATTTCCCAGGACTGGATTCACCTCTTCCATTTGAAGGATATCAAGTATTTCCAAGTATGGCTGTTTAAAAAGTGAACTCTCAGTCTCTGAAAGGAACCTATGGCTGGCTTAGACCCTCCCTGCCTCTTTAGAGATCTCAATATGTGATTTAAGACATTTCTGAGAACTCAGGCATTCAATGCGTTTCACCAGTGTCAGGCTCTAGAAAGCTGATTTTTATTAGGAAAAACATCTCTTCAACCTTCTCTTATCCCTTGCTTTTCTGCCTTCCTGTCTGTGCTCTCTTGCCCAAAACATGGATTTTCATGTAATTCAGTTCACTAAATATCACTTCCATTTTTGTTTCTCTGCAGAGTTTATTGCTAGAGCTGCTAATAGACTTTCAGTACAAATAGTATATTGATCACTTGAAATCTCATTTGAGCTTGACTGAATATACATAATGGGGTGTCAATCAGGGAAAAATCTCATAATAAATGGCAGGTGACTTATATTCATGAGCAAAAATGTCTTGGGCAGCACACAAAATATCGTGTTTACTGTAGCATGACGGACTGATTTTGCTCGTCTCCATCACATTCATCTGGTGGGTGTTTAATAGCAAAGGCAAGGTTAGAATACCAAGATCCTGGAACCTTTCTTTCTTTGTTTATGTGGGAAACATTTTAGTACACTCTGTACAGTATAAGCATTTTCTAGAACTACAGCCAGCAAAAAAAATCTTTTCTACCTGAGAACTTCAGAAATTGCAAACAAATCTGTTTAAGTTGGTGTATATTTAAAATCAGCTACTGATTTATGCAGTCCATATTTTTTAAATTTTTACCATGTGTGTATCAGTGCATGCACTCACTGTATGCAAATATCATTTTCAGTGTGTATATGGGAGAGCACAGTATATTTAGAGAAAAGTCTGCTTTACATAAATTATTTTTAAGAACAACTGAGCAGAGGAGTAGCCATGCGTTAGGAAAACCAAATCTTTTTTTTTTTTTTTAAGTTTCCCATTGAATGATAAATGAAGCAATCTTTCTTTTAGAGTTTTGTATGTAATTCTTTAAAACCAATTTTCCTGATAGAGCAGTAGTTATGATGGTAGATATGTCTGGGAAAGTGATATTTTGTGTTACATTATTATTATTATTATTTTTTTTTTTTTTGAGATGGAGTCTTGCTCTGTTACCCGGCTGGAGTGTGGTAGGCAATCTCGGCTCACTGCAACCTCCGCCTCCCAGGTTCAAGTGATTCTCCTGCCTCAGCCTCCTGAGTAGCTGGGACTACAGGCACACATTACTACGCCAGGCTAATTTTTGTATTTTTAGTAGAGACAGAATTTCACCATGTTGACTCTGCTGGTCTCGAACTCCTGACCTCATGATCTGCCCATCTCAGCCCCGCAAAGTGCTGGGATTACAGCTGGGTTACTTTATATAGCTGACTTCATTGTGGCTGATTGTCTGAGAACATGGGATATTGGTATCTAGTGTATTAGCTGTAACCCTGCTTCATGCCATGGCAGTGTGAGGTACATCATGTTTTTCCCAGTCTGCTAGATGGGGTGCAGCTCAGCTTCCATCAGGAATTCGTCATCTCCTGTAAATGAAGTCACTGGCTCTTTGCTAACAAGTTTCTAATTTGCTTTTTTTTTTTACAGTCAAAAAAATAATAATCATACCCTCGACAAATGTCTCCTTCAGTCCTTGTGCAATATTCAAGATTTTAAAAAGTGTATTATATCACAGTTTTCACCTTTTTAGCAGGTCATATATGATAGCCAGAGGAATCTGCTTACCACGGAGAATATGCAAAACAGGACAAGTGACATTATTAAGATATAAAAGACGTGACGTCAAGCCCTGATCATATGTACTGTTTTTCCATAGCAAGATCTTTTGCCATTTTCATCTATTTTACCGAAATGCTTCTGATCTGTTTTTTAGGATTTTTGATTAGCAGTAAGAGAGAATGTAAAGTATGCTGAGAAATGGAAGTATCTAAGAACTAACCAGTGCAGAGGTTTAACAATGTATAATTACACGAGTGCTACGTATTTTAGTAATATCTTCTATAAGTAAAATCTTATATCCATATGTTTCCTTATATATGTACAAATAGTTCTGTACCAGTTAGAAACTATTTGTAGTATGTGGCTTTTTGCACAAAGAGGCAATCAAATTTGATAGCTTAAGCTTGGGAAATTATGCTTCTGAGATTTTAGCAGAAGCTAGGTGATACTAGAACTTTAAACTCAGGAATTAGCTGTTTGAATATGCTTCATTAATTTTAACCTACAGAGAAATGTATGCCTGCAAATGTTAAAACTGGGACTTATTGGATGTCACCAATAACTGGGAAAAATTAAATCCCAGGAAAAATCAGAAAGAAAAATTTCCAGAGAAATTTGAATCTGGAACCTGCATTTATAGGCCTTGCTGTTGTCTTAAATTTTGGATAGTTTTACTAATTTATTTTGCTTAACTGAAAGGAGAAAGAGTAACATGAACTAAGCAGAAGTTACATGAACTATTTTCTGATGAAAAGATATTAACATCTTTTGGAAATACCATATTCAGCTTGGTAATATAAATATTCAGTTTTAATAGATTGCCTTCTCACCAGTCCTTACCATCTTACAGAGATAATTTTTTTATTTTTTATTTATTTTTTTGAAACAGAGTCTTGCTCTGTCACCCAGGCTAAAGTGTAGCAGTGTGATCTTGGCTCACTGCAACCTCCGCCTCCTGGGATCAAGCAATTCTCGTTCCTTAGCCTCCCGAGTAGCTGGGACTACAGGCGTGTGCTACCAGGTCAGCTAATTTTTGTATTTTTAGTAGAGATGGGATTTTGCCATGTCAGCCAGGCCGGGCTTGAACTCCTGGCCTCAAGTGATCCACCCACCTCTGCTGGGATTATAGGTGTGAGACCCCATGCCCAGCCCTTACAGTGAGACTATTTAAAGACAAATAGAAGAAGTTGAAGTACATATCTTTTACATATCTTATCAGTAGAATTAAAAACAACATCCATATACTCACCAAGTTCTTGGTAAGACTTTTAAATCGTTAAAAAAAATTAAATATAAATTTGGAAAATAGAGTTGAATTTATAGTGAATTCACAGAAACAGACATTATATTAAATAATTCCTAAGCTTTGATTTTTATGTATGCCAAAGCAAGACTAGGAAATAACTGGAACTCCTGCATTTTTTTTTTTTTTTGCCACTGCTGACATTTTCAGAACCAAAGAATCAGAGCTCTCTTCACTAGATGCGGCATATTTAAAGTTATGTTCATTTAATAGAAGCACAGCAGTGGGACTACTTTTTCTTCCAACAGTGATTTAAATAAGAACTAGGCGATATCATGGATTAAGGATAATAGGCTTTTTAAAAAATTGTGTTGTTTTTCCCTTTAATGAAAAACACATCTGAGTAAAGAAAAATTGCAATGAACTAATTCAGTTATTAGTGAAGTAGTAATTTGGTATATATTACTTTTAATAATTTAGCTTTATATTTACTGCAAAGTTTATATTCAGGTTTAATTGCTTGCTAAGACAAAATCAACAAGATTATTTTCTTACGCCTTGTTTTATGTAAGTTAGTTTCACTAAGGGAAATATTACAACACAGTAAAAACCTTTAGTGCACCTCCATGTGCCTTTCAAGAATATATATTGTCTGTATAAGAGGAGAATAACTTAGGGGTCATGTTTATTGATATAGTAATATTATATATGTATATATTACACACATACAATATATAAGTATAACATATTTATCCCAAGTATATCGTAATGTTATACTTATTGTACTTAAATGTATATGCCATTTCAAATGAGCCTAAACCATTCTCATTTCACTAGAAACCCAATATTTAGACATGATCTCATGCCCTATGACATCAAAGAAGACAGGCTTGACTATTTCCCCTGCTTAGTTTTGGTTTGACGTACGTGCTGTGGCAATGGCAAAAGTTATTTTCTTAATGATAGGCAGATCCGCCATGATTGTGTAGGAAGTTGGTAGAAAAGTAATGGGTGGTAGTTTTTTTGTTGTTGGTTCTGGTTTTGGGATATGCATGTAGGTACCTTTGAAGGAGTGCAATTCTAATTTTTAAAAATCAGAAAATCCAGTGGGAACGTTGATCCTATTTCCAGTTCAGCTTCTTCGTCCATCTTGCTGTGGTCTTGGCCTCCTTCAG